ACCAATCTTCTGTATCAGAAATCCAATAAAAGAATATTGTCCCCATCTTTGCTGTAAAAGGTTTCTGCCCCCACCCTCTACCCCATTTATACAAATTTGTTAGCAAGAATATTCAAGGTTTATAGTGGACTCTGCAGAAAATGCTTCAGCTGTACTCCAGAAAAAGGGAATTCAGCTTATTTATTTATTTATTTTACGACATTTTTATCCCGCCCATTTCAGCCCGAAAGCAACTCAGCTTATTTAGCAGCCGTTGCAAATGTGGATTTATTATTAGTAAATGTTTGATTTTTATATGTATTTTGTGTACCTACATACTTGGGGGTCATGTGAAAATTTCTCAGGCAAAAGCATTGCAAGTAGAAAAAAGTTAAGAGGCCCTGCTTTAGGAGATTAAAAATAAAACCCAAGGAGTATTGTACAACACCTCTATGGAGGATTCCTTTGTCAGGGATTTTCCTATATTGTACCTTTAATCTTTTCTTTAGTAGTTATATTTTGACTGCTAATAAATTGTTACAAATTCAGGCCCATTTCTATAAGGGTTTGTTGGATTGTTTTAAATGCTTTATTAGTATTATGGTTAATTTTAGCCATACTGTATTTCATTCTTTGCTGAGGGCTGCCTTGGATCCCATACATGGAGAAAAACATAACTTTAGATCGATAGGGGATTTATGAGATATAGCTGTAAGAGGGAAAGCCCTAGGTTTAACTACTAATTCAAGATCAACTCATATCTTGCTGTATTTCCGCAGGAGTATTTTTTAAGGGTTTTTGTCCCTGTCCTTTGTAGGGAAAAAACATGAGGAATAGGTCTTCAAATATCTGAATACAGCACATTAATGGTGCCTTTTGTCTTAACATTTCATACAATGATAGTGTGGAAAGAGACCACAAGGGCCACCCAGTCCTGTCATGCAAGAATACACAATCAAAACACCCCTGACAGATGGCCATCTAGCCTCTGTTTAAAAATCTCCAAAGAAAGAGACTCTACCACACTACAAGGAAGTGAATTCCACTATTGAATACCACAAGGAAATTCTTTTTGATGTTTAAGTAGAATCCCCTTTCCTGTAGTTTGAATCCATTCCTCCATGTCCTAGTTTCTGGAGCAGCAGAAAACAAACTTGCTTCATCGTCAATATGACATCTTTTCAAATATTTAAACCTAGCTGTCATGTCACGATTCCAAAATAGGACTCTTATATAAACCCACTATCCTAGGGTCCCCAATGTTTTTGTACAGGATATGTCTATTATCTAACTTCACCCTTTTACGGAGTGGTGGTAGGAGCCTGTTTTCAACCATTTCTGGATAATATATCTTTACGCTGCCATTTTCATGGCAGCTAAGATCTTCTGATCAGTCTTTCTTCATTTTTTGTGTGAAGTAAAATATTAACAGCTAGCATTAAGACACTACTGCAAACCAGCATTCCAAAAGGACTCCCGTATCACACCCAAAACTTGTATATCTTGTAACAGACATCTCAAAATGATTGCTGGACCTTAAAGAAGGGCTGCCTTGAATTCTTATACTTTTTAAAGCTGTGGGGAGAATATGTTATATAGTTGTCATTTAAATACAGCATTGCTTTTTAAAATACAGGCAGGTTTGAGTTTGGAAAGGAAATATATAAAATCTTCCCAATATCACAGTAATAGTAGTAATAATAATCCAATAAAATATACCCATGCAGAACTTAGGGTTCGGTGGAATTTCAGATGATCTACCAATTCAGAAATTCTCAGGTGACAGCAGGGCCGTAGCCAGAAAAATCTTTTGGGAGGGGTTGAAATTGAGGGGGGGGGTTGAAACCTGCCTCCTAGCTCACCCTGAAGCAAAGAGCACAGCAGGGGGTGGACCAGCCTTCGATAGCCTGCAGCTCCGCCCCTGTCAACTACCTCCACCAAGTCTGGCCTCCTTAATGAGAGCATTAAACACACACACACCTAACTTGGTTGCTTCACTACATCGGCTATTGCTGCAAGAAATGACAGTGTGAATAAATTGTCAATATTTGCTTGAAATAGTGCTTGCAATTCATAGACTTGGCACGGGGATTTGGTTAACCAGTTAAAATTCATGAGTAAACCAGGTTTTTTTAAAAAAAAAAATCTGAAACATTTCAGGGGGGGGGTTGAACCCCTAAACACCCCCCCCCCTCGCTACACGCCTGGGTGACAGGGACACTATATGATGGTGTTCACCTATGTGCTTCTATATTTGTCATTCCATGTTCACCCAGCAAGTGAATACTGTGTCCAATTCTGGGCACCACACTTAAAAGGAGATGTTGACAAGTTGGAATGTGTCCAGAGGAGGGTGATTAAAATGATCAAAGGTCTGGAGAACAAGCCCTATGAGGAACGGCTTGAAGAGCTGGGCATGTTTAGCCTGAAGAAGAGAAGACTGAGAGGAGACATGATGGCCATGTATAAATACGTGAGGGCAAATAGGGAGGAGGGAGCAAGCTTGTTTTCTGCTGCCCTGGAGACTAGGACACAGAACAATGGCTTCAAACTACAGGAAAGGAGATTCTACTTGAACATTAGGAAGAACTTCCTAACTGTGAGAGCTGTTCAGCAGTGGAACTCTCTACCCCGTAGTGTGGCAGAGGCTCCTTCTTTGGAGGGTTTTAAACAGAGGCTGGATGGTCATCTGTCAGGGGAGCTTTGAATGCGATTTTCCTGCTCCTTTGCAAGGGGTTGGACTGGATGGCCCATGAGGTCTCTTCCAACTCTATAATTTTAATTGGAGTACAATCAATTTCATGAGTTGAAAGGTGGGCTGTCTAATGCATGGTTCTGGACTCATATTACATCAAGATCCTACATATGCAATTAATAATGTATGGATGGAATTATTGGTTGTATTTATATCCCACCTTTCTCCTAGAATTAGCCTTCTATATTCCAACAGATTATTATGTGCATCTTTTACTGCTAACTGGTGCTCCTGGCATTTGCCATTTGGCCTGCTGTACAGTGTACAGAAAGCTTTAAGGCCAATAGTTTAATGATGAATTTATCTACGTTGTTTCACATGTTTACACAGGACTGTGCTGGGAAGATAAATCTGCCTTCAAAAGAATTCTCCTTAATCAAAATCCAGTGCAAGATTCTTGATAATAGGAAAAGAAACAATCTTCTTGGTTTCACTGTGATCCCATGGATTCTTTTTGTATATTTACTTTGGATAATCAAGTTCATTCAAAAGGCACAATACAGTCTCAAAAAGAAATTTTTGTCCATGTAGCTGAAGTCCAGCTACTTAGTATGTCAGATATTGATTCTGAGCAGGCCAAAATGACAGTAGGCTTACATTTTGGAGGAAAATCAATGCACATGAAAGGCATGCAAAGTAATCCTATCTACGCATCTTTGCTTGGAAAGAATTATTGCTGAGTTCATGGAGACTTGCTCCCTAGTTATCTTGTATAGCACAGCTGCAGCTTTGACATATTTTGAGGTTTTGTTATTATTGAGCAGGTTTAATAACTTTCTTTTTCAGACAAAATTAGAAAAACAGAAACTTTGAAACATTGCAACAAAACTTCATTTAAAAACTCAACCAAAGTTTTAACTAAGATACAAAGCTAGTTGTACTCTCATACTCATATAATTAATAGTTATCATTAATCTTACATTGTGTGTGTTTTTAAGATGGATATATAACAAAATTATGCATTTGAATACAGGCAAAGGAGAAAAAAATATATCATACTGTTCAAATGATATGCCCCATGACTTGTCCAAAGTTGTAACAAAAAATTATAATACAAAAAAGCTTGTGGAAAACATATCCTACAGTAGCTGTCAGTTATTTGAAAGCAACTTACCTGTCCGAACATATCTCTCCCTATGAACTGGTTAAAATCTGCAGGGGAGGCCCTGTTCTCGGTCCCACCCCCACCGCTAGCACGACTGGTGGGGATGAGAGGCAGAGCCTTCTCAATGGTGAGCCTTTGGCTCTGGAACTCCCTCCCCAATGAAATCAGAACAGCCTTCTCCATCCATTTATTTTAAATAAAAGAGTGTAGACCTGGCTATGGCATCAGGCATAACTGTAGCAACACAAATGATGACTTCTGGAATAGATATCATGGTTCTAACAGTTTTATGGTATTATATGTTTTCATCTGTATTTATGTATATGCATTTTCTTTTATTGTATATGTGGCATTGAATATTGCCATATTGTAAGCTGCTCTGAGTCCCCCTTGGGGTGAAAGCGAGTGGGATATAAATATAGTAAATAAAAAAAAATGTCAACATGTGTTTGTCTTTATGTGAAAGCTTTTGACTTCTGCAAGTTTAATAGTAATTAGAGGAGGACCTCTTTATAATCACATTGAGTTTCTGGCAGGGGGTCAAATGCAGGACAGCCAGTCATTTTGTGCTGTCTAGCCATGTCAAATTGTCTTACATGGCAATAATACCACTTTCCTTGCATAAGTAAGAAAGCTGAAAAGATATAAATATCAAAATAGCCAAGATCCCACAGAAGACTAGTTTAAAACTAAAGCTCATTCAAAAGTTCATGTTACTCGCTGACCTAATTAAACCAAATAAGAGTTGATATCTGCCAAATGTATAAATAAAGTCTGCGGCTACATTTTGATGATAGAGTCCTTGAACAGCTATTGGTGTAATTGGGAAATGGCACCGTTCCTGGGGAGTGAGCTTTCATAACCCAGTAATAAAATCAGTTGAAATTAACTTGATAGCCAGGAATGATTGATCATTCAACACAGCAATCGTGTCTCATCCTTGCAACTACCACCTTTCACACTTTCTGGAATTTATTAAATAGTGCTTTAGCGCCAGCTGTTGCTTGAGTTATACTCATACAAAATTTTATATTGCTTTGTGCTATGCAAAACACCCAAGTTCCCTTTTAATATTTTTAGAATGATTGTGCTTTATCACACTCTACTGAAATACATGCATTTTCACAGGAATCAATTTTAAATGTTAATTGTTTTATTTAGGAGAAACCCTCGAGCCATCAGAAAATAAATTGAAATCCAAGTGGGAAAAGCTGCTGGGACCAGATTTTGAAGTTATGGTATGATATCCATATATGTGTCTTTTTTACTTACATTACTGTGTGCTTTACATTACATACTGTTTATGATTGAAAGGTAAGTAATATTTTGGATATGGATGGGGAAACATAAATTACTTTTGGGGATTTTGGTGCTATTGCCCCTAACTCCAAAGGCACACTGTTACATTTTATTCTGTTTTACATTTACTGTATACTCACTTTAGAGCAGGCATGCACAACTTGCCATTAGAAAGGGGCCAAAATAGATAGGCTAAGCCTCTGAGGGCTGCTAATAGGTTTTTAGCATCTCACTTTCCAAGTAAGGCATAATTAATTATTTATTAGAATTGTTGTTGTGTGCCTTCAAGTTGTTTCAGACATAGGATGACCCCAAAGCAACCCTATCACACAGTTTTCTTGTCAAAATTTATTCAAAGGGGATTTGTCTTTGTCTTCCACTTAGGCTGAGAGTGTGTGATTTGCTTAAAGCCATCCAGTGGGTTCAGGGCCATATTCTGAAGTTCAGACCACTACACCACACTTTCTGAATACCTTCCTTCTCTGTTTCCTACCTCCCTTTCTTTCTTCCTTTTCTCTCTTCTTCCTTCGTTCCTTCCCTCTCTTTATCCTTCCTTTCTTTCCTTCCTTCTTTCTTTTTTCTTTCTTTTTCTTTCTCCCCTCCTCTCTTCCTCTTTCTCTCTTTTTTCTCCCTTCCTTCTCCCTTTCTCGTATAAGCCCGCTAAACCGCCAAAATGAATAGGAAAGGACAACCCCTCCAGAACTCCAAAATGGATTATAAAGACAGCCTCTTCAGACCCCCAAGAATGATAGGACAACCCCTCCAGATCCCCAAAATGGATATGAAGGGAAGGGAAAGCCCCCCCCCCCAAACAGCAGGTGGTGGCAGCAAGGGGGAGCACGCAATGGTGGCAGGCAACAGTGATGTGGGTGGGGGGTGGCACAACAACATGGCTGAGGGGCCACATGTGGCCCATGTGCCATATGTTGTGCAGGCCTACTTTAGAGTATTCAGTGGGCTAAATCCAGTTGTGAATTCTACACAGAGTAGTTCTATTGAATGAATAGGAACTGTTGAGTAAGCAGTTGAATGGGTTCTTCTAATTGGAACTGCTAAATGATTTTGATTTAAACAGAGGCTATGGTTTCTTTCCTTTTCTTCAATGTAAAGGTTGTCAGCATGGACATGCCAATAGCAGATGATGCTGAGCTGCAGAAATATTCAAAGGTACTGGATCTTAATTTCCTTATTTTTTTTCTTTAATATGTTTGCAATATAAATAGGTGGAATATATATGTATTTGACATTTTTGGCAAGTTCTGCTTTATTGCTGTTCTTACTGCAAATTAATTTTCCACAAATGTGTTTTTTAACAATTTAAAGACTTGCTTCTTAAAAAGCTTCATGCTAAAATCCAGATAGAACAACTGACTGGCCATGTTCATTTGTTGATTCATTCTTCCTGTCTTATATAAGAGAAATTATATTGGATGGCACACCTAACTTTCCCTTTATTGTCAATTTAGCCCATTCAGCTAGGAGAAGGAGCCAAATTCTAGCAAATAGGTTTATGTGTTTCTCAACTGTCCTAATGCTACAATCCCTTAATACAGTTCCTCATGTTGTGGTGACCCCCAACCATAATATTATTTTCATTGCTTCTTCATTACCATAATTTTGCTATTGTTATGAATTGTAATGCAAATACCTGATATGCATGATGTATTTTCATTCACTGAACCAAATTTGGCACAAATACTCGATAGGCCCAAATTTGAATACTGGTGGGGTTGGGGGGGATTGATTTTGTCTTTTGGGAGTTGTAGTTGCTGGGATTTGTAGTTAACCTACAATCAAAGAGCATTCTGAACTCCACCAATGATGGAACTGAACCAAACTTGGCACACAGAACTCCCCTGACCAACAGAAAATACTGACCTTGGGTTTTGAAGTTGCAGTTCAGCTACATTCAGAGAGCACTGTGGACTCAAGCAATGATGGATCTGGACCAAACTTGGCAGAAATCCTCAATATGCCCAAATGTGAACACTGGTGGAGTTTGGGGAAAAATGACTTTGACATTTAGGAGTTGTAGTTGTTGAGATTTATAGTTCAACTACAATCAAAGGTCATTCTGAACCCCGCAGAAAATACTGTGTTTTCTGATGGTCTTTGTTGACCCCTCTGACACCCCCCTCGTGACTCCCCCAAGGGGTCCCAACATCCAGGTTGAGAAACAGTGCTCTAAAACTTGGTTTTTTGCAAAGAATAATTGGCTAAATATATCAGTGCAGCACAAACAGACCCTTGAGTTTTCGAGATGATGAGTAATTGACATGTATATATCATTCTGTTACCCATTTGTATATGGCAAAGCTTAAACAACATTGCTATTCCTTTTTTATACACAGCCTACATTCTGAGATGTAAGCATTCTCCAGCTCTACTAGATTTGCTATTCTTGTAGCTATTGCAGACCGATCCCTATATGCATTAGATTCTGATACTGGAAAAGTTAGTATAATCATTTATGCTATGACCTGGAAATAGCTGCACTATCACATGGTAGAGAAACATCCCAATAGGAGCTGGGTTTTGATTATTGCTTTGCAGAGAGGAGACTGTTGTCTCCTTTTTGGTTATGTTTGAAGGATAGTAATATATCAACTTGTCTCAGAAACTTAAAAAAATTAATTTTCTGATACATATTTGCCATAGTACAGAGTGCACTGTACGTAAAAACAGCCAAAAGACAATAAAAAAATACTTGGATTTTCTTTGAACAACTACTGTGCTCCTCCAATTGCTTCCTTATCAAATTTACGTTTTTATTAAATGTATTCATATTCAACTGAATGAATTTGAACAAAGTTGTACAGTCAGAAGAACATCCACATTTGAATTCTTAATTTATGTAATTTGTTTTCAACAGTTGCTACCTATTCACACATTAAGATTAGGGGTTGAACTGGATACATTTGAAGGACATCATTATATTTCTTCAATTGCCGCGGATGGACCAATTGCTCAACTTGGCATACTGCAATTAGAAGACGAACTTTTAGAGGTAGATGTTGCATGAAAAAATAACTACTAAAAATAACAATATCCCAGTGTTTTGTTCAGGGGTCTGTTTTTGAGGTACATTCATGTATCTTTTATTGTGTGGCTAAAGAAGGGGGAGCAAAAATTAAAGCTACAAGAATGCAAAGCAAGTAATAATACAATCTTGGCCCTGAATGTCTTATACCAGTGGATCTCAATCTGTGGGTCCCCAGATGTTTTGGCCTTCAATTCCCAGAAATCCTAACAGCTGGTAAACTGGCTAGGGACCCACCTAGGGACCCACAGGTTGACAATCTTATACAATTGCACTCTTCACAGATATTGCAAGTTCATTATAATAATTTAGTAAGTTAGTTTAAAGCATTCCACTTATCACTAGGGCCCCCATGGTAATGCAGAGTGGATAAAAGCATTTAATACTCTACTTGCACAGACAAAAAACAGTTAAAACTAGACTATAGCAACTCTTTAAAATGACAAATAGTTATAATAACCAGACCAGCCAACCTCTTGTTTTAAGAACCTCAGAAGGAATGAAAGCAGCTTGACTTCTTTTGGGAGAAAGTTCTACTATGGATGCCGCTAGGGAGAAAGGCCATGGCATATATATTCACCAACTTACTCCTGAAGAGCACTGGTACATACAACAGGAATTTCTACTGAGGATCTTAAATCTCATATAGGAGAAGGTTGTCTTTTAGATATCCAAGCCATTTGGGGCCTTATAGGGCAATATCAGAACCTTTTATTGAGCGTGGTAGCACATTCAAAGCCTTCACAGTTCTCATTAGGTCTTTGTATGGTTTTGAAATTCCACAACTAACACCATTCTTGGCACTAGCTGTAGCTTCTGAACACTTCTCAATGGCAACCTCATGTGGAGCACATTATAATAGTCATAATTGGGAGGTTGTTATGACATGAAACACGGTGGCCAGAGCTGCACTTTCTAGGAAAGGGGGCAGTTGTGAAATCACGCTGGCCAAATCTGTAGGAATGTTTCCTATGAAGGGTTAAAACAAAATAAATAGATTTCTTTTAGCAGTTAACCCAAAATGTTACAAGAAAATTAAAAGGCCATGCTATGGTCTAATGTTCAGCAGTTATGATTACAGAATCCTGGATTTACAAGCCAACAATTGCATTCAGTTTTTCCATTTCTAGCCTATTGCTTTCATCTGTAGCCACTCACATTTTTGTATTTGGGAATTATAATGGACCTCTTGGTGAAAATAATGAGGATGCAATGCCAATCTGATACCCAGTCAGAAAAAAACACATTTTATCTTTGAAAAAGTTATTTCTGCATCTAAACAAGGGAGTATAGCAAAAGAGAGCATAGCATACATCATGTTTGCAGATTGTTGGGAGGCATCCAAAAATTCTAATTTCGAAATGAAACATGATCCTCCTACACTTCTGCTATATTCTAATGAAGAAATAGGTTTTTTCAGGGTAAGTGGAGCTTGTTTGTGTATATGAATACTCATACAAGAAAAGCTGCAATGTCAAAGACAATGTTGTCTGAATGCATTTCTATTATTTAAGGAGAGATGTGTGTAATACCTAGATATGGCAGAATATGCACAGCAAATACTCTAGAAATTCATTGAGCTTGGAAATGTTTAAACAAAGATGCATACAGCACAACTATTTTTCAAATTTGGTATAAAATAATTAATACTTAAATATATTATTTATAAAATTGTACCTTCTACCATGTTTTTATTTCTGCCTTGGTTTTTGTGTTGTGTTTATTTTCTGTTTTTGAGGTTGCTGTTTATATATTATGTTTTATTTTTGCTTTGGTTTTTGTACTGTGTTTTATTTTTTGTAAGCTGCCCCAAGTCCTGTTTGGAGAGGGGCAGGATATAAATAAAGATGATGATGATGATGATGATGATGATTATTATTATTATTGGGTGCTCGTGGTGTGGTAAACCATTGCATGCTCTATGTGCCAAGAAAATACTTTAATTTTAATATTCTGTAAACATACAATTGAATAGCAGCCTCTACTAAAATGCAGTGGGATTCATTCACAGATTAGCATGCTCCCCAGGTTGGTGGATTTCCTGGTGGTGCAGCATCGAAAGTAGTGATTTGCAGAAGAATTGTATCTGAATGCCAATCTTTTCTCAGCCGATATCATTACATTTGCTAAGAAATCCTTTCTTTACTGTTGCTTGCGAACAGCATGAATGTTTACATCTGCCACTATAGCTTTGATGGTCCACAAAATCTGGTGTCCTAAGAAGTAAGAGTGGTATTTACTCTTTTTTTGCTTGCAGCGTGCATGACAGCAGCAATTACAACAAAGTCTCTATTAGGAATGTGACACTAATACAGTATGTCCTCCCTTAACCACAGATTTGATATCTATAGTTTCAGTTACACATGCTCCAAAAAACACCCCCTTTCTCCCAGAAAAGTTTGTGGACTTCTTTAGGCGATGTCTTGCATCTGTCCCAAATATAGTCAAAATATAGGTTTCACTATTATCCATGGTTTCAGGTATATGCGAGTTATCCTGAACTTATTTCCTGCCTATACTAGGGTTGTACTATATGTGATCACTCATGCCATGTGACCATATATTGTAAGCTGCAGTCCAAGCTTTCAGGGAAGACTAATGCAATGTATGCAAAGTGCTGGCAAAGAAATGAACACAAGAAAAGTGTGTTTATTATACAAAACAGAAGGCTAAACTCTTTTATCCACTTAACATGTCACCAGAAAAGAAGATGTTACATATTTTCTTATGCTGAGATATATAGCTATGTGAGTGTGTCAGGTTTCAAATTCAAACTGCCACCAGGTGATCTATGCTCCTTTTCAAATTGTTATCCAGGTGATTATTAATGGGCAACTTCAAGGGCTGTCTTCTTCATCTTAGGTTTTCTGGGTTGGACTCAGGCCAACCTTTCAAACTTACAATGTATAATCTCATTTCTCCGCACAGGTAAATGGTGTCCAGCTCTATGGAAAAACCCGGCGTGAAGCTGTGTCTTTTCTTAAGGAAGTTCCACCACCATTTACCTTGGTTTGTTGTCGGCGCTTGTTTGATGATGGCACAGAATCCTTTGTTGATGAGCCCACCTCTGTTATTGCCTCTTCTCCAGAACCAAAGGTAAAAATGGTGTTATTTAGCTCCAATAGGAAGATGCTGAACTTTCCAAAGATATTTGTTTTTGCTCTTGCATTGAATATCTGTTGTATTGCAGTTGATTTTCAATTTTTCATTATGTATTGTGCTTTTTAGTGTTTTTTTTCCTGACTATTCATATCTGTATTTATCCCCATATATTCAGTAACATATAACTGCCTTTTCATATAAAAGTTAGCTAGGTGAGAAGGAGTATCTCTTTTGCTAACAGAACTTTATTTTTAGCCATTTTATATCATACTATGAAGGTTCCAATGAAACAGTGAAAATATTGAGCAATGTCACTTGCAGTGGACCTGGCATTTCAATACATTTTCCATATGTATATGTACAGGAGATTGCTAGGGTTCATGATTTGAAGTCAGATGCTATATTAATCTAATTCGTAGAAATAACTAAATATTCATTTTCATATGATCTACTGAAATGAAAGTAAGGTGCTCTACTGGAATGGAAGAGGAACTCTCCTTGCCCAAAAAGAAAAGCTAGATTAATTGTGATTGTTTCAACTACAATGTTGTCAGTGTAGTAGGGATCTAAGTGTTGGACTAAGATAGGGCTCTGGAAATCAGGCTTCTCTCTTCGGCCATGAAACTCCCTGGATGTTTGGCACAAATCACGCTGTCTCAATTGAAAGGTTTGTCTCATCACCTTAAGTCACCTTAAGTCAGAAATTAAGCCATCACCTTAAGTCAGAAATTACTTAAAGGCACATCAAAACATCAAACAATAATAGTTACAGCTGTTCACTATTGTTTTTGGAGCAAGATATGAACTAGGTTCTCAGAATGCTGAAAATACCTCAAGACCAATATATCTTGAGAAATGGGGCAGGTGAAGAAAGGAAATTAAGGCAAATTGGTCTCATAGTTTATTATTGAAAGAGTTGAAAACAGAAAACAATTTGAGTGAGAATCTCATGGGTTTATTTGTTTCAGAGTAATTCTACTGAATCATATTTGAGAAAATAGAGTTTGAAAATGTTGGCCTTCTGCTATATGTCCTCTTTTGATACATGGTAGGGTGGCTTCATGCAGTCATGCCGGCCACATGACCTTGGAGGCATCTATGGACAACGCCGGCTCTTTGGCTTAGAAATGGAGATGAGCATCACCTCCGAGAGTGCGACAGGACTAGACTTAATTTCAAGGGGAAACCTTTACCTTTACTTAGGCTGGCTTAAGCTCTCCTATGCCTCCTAGAGACCTGTCATTGTAAGCTTTGCATATAATGTAGAGAAGTCTGAGCACTTATGCTAGCATCAAAGGTAAATGTGAATGATGACTTATTTGTTCTTAGTAGCTGCCCTGGCTGAAAATTCAGGGACTGCTCACAAGGCTTTTCCAGATCCCCCATTCAAACACTGAAGCACTTTGTATGTGAAGATAGGGCCGTTCAGCTGCAAACTATAATTCCATCAGAAAAAAATGATAATTATGTTGTCTTGTTTATGAACCTATGTTTCCTTCCTTTTTCTTTTAAACCATCACTAAACACTGGCTAGCTTTTGAAAGTCACGCTTAACTTCCATGCACTCTGTAGAGGTGAACTTTTGCAGGAAAGCTATGATGTTCTTTTAGCAAATGTATCTTCAGAGATATTTCATGTTAGTGACTTTACTACTTTTACTTTAATTGGAAACTCTTAGTGGCTTATTTAGGCAGGTAGCTAGAAACATCATTGTATTAATGATACAAGGTATGTAAATCAAGGAGTCGACATGCTGATGGTGTACATCCCATTCATCATTCTTCAGTTTAATAACGGAGCGAAAGCTTTGAATTATACCCAGTCTCTGTTCTCCCATTAGCTGATTGCTTCCATCTTGTGAACAAAGACTGGATGCAGACTGAAAGACTGCAGTTTTCACTATTAACCTTTCTAAGGTCCTGGATTTTTGCTTTCTGTATCCCATAATAAAGAAAACATTTGCTTTTGGAGTTCCCTTCTTCATGATGATGGATATTCTAGATATATGTTCTGCTTTGGATAATTTAGTTTAAACATTCCAAATATCCCATTTAACTGAGATGCAACATTTTAATTAGAATTATTGCTAAGCAGTGACATAGTCTAGTCAGGATTTGCAGGCTCAATAACTACAATCTTACAATTAGCATGCATTATGATAGTATCGCTAACCACTGTACCTGTTCGGTCAGAATTTACCAAACTAGAACTCCCATGATTCCAAAACATAGAAGTTAAAGTGGTGTCAAACTGCATTCATTCTGCAGTGTAGATGCACCCCTAGTCAGGATCAGAGATATAGGAGAGTATGAATCAGGGTGAACATTACATAGAATATGTGTATGAGAGTGAGAGATGTGATGAAATGTATTCATCTGTGATGTTTTGTCCATATTCTGTGTTTACACTTTTGTCTTCATGAACACTGTATGTTGGTCAGGTTGTTAACTGGAGCGAATTACAGGAAACGGTCAACCCCCTTGTTTAAACAGCTCAACTGGCTGCCGATAGGTTTCCGGTCTCGATTCAAGGTGCAGGTTATCATCTACAAGCCCTAAATAGTTCAGGACCTGCCTATCTTTGCGATCACGTCTTCTCTTATGAACCTGTGCGAGCTCCAAGATCTTCTGGGGTGGCCCTTCTCTAGCTCCCACCTCTATCACAAGTACAGCTAGTGGGGACAAGGGAGAGGGCCTTCTCAGTAGTGGCCCCTCGGCTATAGAACTTTCTCCCAAGGAAGATTAGACAGGTGCTTACCCTGTCCACTTTTCATAAAAACCTAAAAATGTGGATGTTCCACTGTGCCTTTGATTAAACAGCTCACTAGATAATTTTGCCCCTCCCCCCAGCCATAACTTAATATCTAGCTTTTGCATTTTACCACTGTTTCCTGCCCTATAGATATATTGTTCTAATTGGCATTTCCCTTCTAGCCCTAACTTATCATCTGGCTCATGCACTTTTTCCATCATCCCTGTCCTTGTAATTGTATTGTACAAGCCCCTGCCCACCCAAGTTTAGTAATATGACTTCTATGTTGAGGTTGTTTTTATGTTGTTTATGATATTGCTTTTATAAATTTTACTGTGTTTATTTTAATCTGTATTTGACCAGGCTTGTCCCCATGTAAGCCATCCAGAGTCCCTTTGGGGAGATGGTGGCAGGATACAAAAAAAAAGTTATTATTATATTGTTATTGGAAAGTAGAGTTCAGACATTTAAGATAAAATCTTACACAGTGATTGCAACGGCATCTAGGCAATCTCCGAAGTTTAGTGGTGACAGCAGTGGGACAGAAGTGGCTCCTCACATTAGTGGCAGAGGTGGGGAAAAAATCTTTACGTTTGGTGACAATGGTTGGGATAACTGAACATCCACATAATTTTGGCTGCAGAGAGATAGACAGAACCTCACAAGATAAACATTGTGACATTGTATGGTTTCATTTTTGGAAGGCCAGAGTTTGAATCCACACTGAGGTACAGAAATCAATGTGAGTGACTTTGTGAAGTCACACACAGATTCATCCTAAGAGGAAATCAATTGAAAACAAGTTGGAAAGATCTGTCAGATATTATTGATGGTAAAGAAAGTAGGTGTAGTGGAGAAACTGGGTTTAGTGAAGTAGAGATTTTTGAAATAGGGAACTCTCGTGAGCATGTTCTCCTGATTTTAAAACTGTTGAAACCAGACCAAAACGCTGTTGTTGTTTTTTTGTTTCTTCCATTACAAAAGTCAACAAATAAAATGTTCATTCTCTTTCTTGAAAGCAAACACTTGTGGAGAATTACACCACAGTGTTAGGAATACTTTTACATACTTTTGTGTTTTTAGATTCTTTTGACCATTGTAGAGGAAGAGTTTCTTCATCTTCAAATTAGTTGCAGATGACTCAGAGGTCTTTTTTAAAAAGAATTTCCATGAATCTCCTAAACTTATTTAAACCCTGTGCACATGAACCCATTTAAATGTAGACATCCTTTGTAATGGAATTTCTTTCTACTGTAAACAGTTATATCTCTTGCGATTCAAGTCTTAAGCTTGGAGTACTCCAATATTTATGATCTCGCACCTGGCTTTAAATCAGTATGAATCATATGGCTGAATCCTTTGTGTCCTTGTGTTTATTTATGAATTTATATTGCATCTAAGGATGTTCAAAGCACTTTGCAGAAATTACCCAAGGCAGTAATCCTTCCAACAAGCTTATGATATAGTTTATGCTTAGGTCAAAAATGACTTGCAAAGAAACAGTGGTCACTTACTGCCTTCCTGGTAAAATAATTCCTGGATCAGGTATTTCAGGTGTCCCATGTCTTATTCTTTCCTTCTGCCTTATGCTAGCTATCCAATTTTGCTTTTGCAAGTCAATCTACTGGGAGCAATTTAGTGCCCTTCTACACAGCCATATAACCCAGAGTAAAAAGGCAGATACTCCACAATATCTTCTTTGAACTGGATTTTCTGAGTCCACACTGCCATATAATCCAGTTCAATGTGGATTTTACATACCTGTGTGGAAGGGGCCTTAGCGCTCTAATTTTCAGTTTAAATTTTCAAAAGACATATTTAAATTTATGCTACTATCAAAATCCAAACTAGATATCTTATTTATGTCTATTAGGTTGTCAGTTAAAATAATATAAATAATTTAAATAACAATAAATGGGACCTGAATGGGACCCAAAGCAGCTCACAACATTTTAAAAACAATACAAACAACAAACACATATAGCAATAAAACCATCTATAAGAATGACATAAATAAAATCGTTTAACAATTACTTTTATTGCGGGGACTCAATTAAAATAACACTTCACACAACTCACTGAAAATTAGCCTTCCTGTCATTTCAAATTAGATTTCTAAACTGTATTGTCCCTTATCTCTCAGGTGAAACCTAGATGTCCAGAAGAAGAAGAAGAAGATGTGGATCTAGCACTGTGGTCTTCTGAATTCAAAGCGGTGGCACTTGAAAAAGACTTGAAAACGGGCTTAGGATTCAGTATTTTAGATTACCAGGTATGCTGAACATCCAGTGATAATCTGATGCCTTGTAATTACATTTGCTTCATGTATTTATTAAATCTGTATCCTGCCTTTTTGCCAAAAGTGACACATGAGACAGCTCTAAACAACAAAATGCAGATTAAAAATACCATCTCAAAATTTAACATAAAATAAATCAATTAAAATAATACTTTGATACTTGCTCTTTTTTCTGTTGCCATGATTTTTCCTTATAAACCAATAGCACACTTGCTAAATTCTGGTTCAAAACCTTTCTATGACATCCTGGGTGTGGAGTCACGGATTGTTGTCCCCCTTCCCCAAATTGATTTTGTATCATAAGTCATCTTCAGTGAAGTCTTACAAAGGGCTGAATGAGTATAATTTTTGGGACTACTGAACAAAAAGTAGCCTTCGGCTTTCACATTAAAATGAGAGCTTCTTATTACTGGTATGAGAGTATACTGCTACAAGTATTATAGCTGGAATAGAAAACAGCACCAAATCAGATACTCTTTGCATGCTTGATTCTTGGCATTTTGAGGTAAGGCTGGCAAAAACTTCTTCCAGCCTGTGGGAAAAATAGTGGACTCAGTGTATTGTCTCCGGTATAACTCCTGTAGTCCAACATCAGACTAGATAGAACAACATTTCTCCACACTTAAAATATAAGCCAATCATGTATGTGGTTCTCAGTGACAAAACTTTCAGAAGCTTCTAACAAAGAATTAGGCACTTAAAGTTATCATAAATTATAAGATTTTTTTAAGTGCAATAATACTCATATTTTAGACATTGGGAATTGAAAATGGTATGATATGGCTTTAACGTTGCTCGTTAATGTGATACTTTTAAGGGCCTGAGAAATATTTTAGCTACTGTAGCTCTTTGTTATCAGGTATGTGCATCTATGAACATTCACGGTGCTGTAGTATAACAAAATAAACAAGTGATTTTGTGCTGAAGGGTACAAAATGAGTTGTGCTTCTATAAACTAAGAGCTGATTTGGGAACCGCTGAAAAATAAATAATTAAGAGTATGCTTGTTTCACTGAGAAGACTCAAATAATCATGTGTTCTCTATATGTTTTGATTTGGTGATTATACATTTTACACTACAGTCCTTACGATCCTTCACAGAGAGCAGTAATGTGTACATTTGCTTTTATTTTCTCGTATGATCAGAATTAATTGAGATTTTAATAACAACTTTATTTACTTAGAGATGCAAATGCACTGACTGGGTTGGGATGCAGCTAAATTTAAATTAGTTGAAATGGGCTGTAAGACGTTTAGTTTTAGATCTTCCATCATTTTAAAATATTGGTTTATATTACAAATTTTACAAAATGCTCTGTGCCCTTGCTGAGATACAAAGCTTTTTATGATACAGTACATAGATATTAATGAGGTATACTCAGTCACAGCAATTGTTTTGACAGGCCATTTGAAACAAAAAGAAATTACAGTATGTCACTAAAAATAGGGCTTTCTATTCCAGTCTGAACTGACCAGTAGAAAGCTGAATGGTCACCTTAGCCCCAAAGTCATGGGCATTGCCATTGCTAACTGGCCTCTGGAGCATTTTGGACTTGCTTCTCCACTCCATCAGTCTAAGCACTTGCCTGTCTTATATGCTCAAGAGACTTTGGAACACATGCTTTAGGTAATATACCCAGTAGTTGCTCTTACAAAAGTCACTCTGTTTTTATAAACTCTCTCTGTTGCTCTTTCTAATATAGCTTTATCTTATTTAAACATTACTCTCACTGGCACCCAATAACTCACAGACCACCACTTTGAATAGCACTGCTTTAGCATATTAGCAGAGTAGGAATTCTACACCCTCCAAACATTTTGAACTCAAAGTGTAATCTTCATTGATCATGTTAGTTGTGGTGGATAGGCATTGTAGTATAAAACATCTGGAGCACATGGAAGAATATGTTGTGTGTGTGTAGAGCAAAGGGCTAAATGCTGTTTACCTCCGACATAAAATGAATAAGGATGATTTAGTCTCACTACAATTTCTATTGATATCAATGCTGTCTACCAGGAATGGGCAAACTTTGGCCCTCCAGCTGTTTTGAACTCCAACGCCCAAACATCCCAACCAGCTTACCGGCTGTTAGGAACGGTGGAAGTTGAAGTCCAAAAAATCTGGAGGGTTGCAGTTTGCCCATGACTGCTGCATACTAAGTGGGACTAACTTTGTATTTTGTCCAGAAGTGAGCAAAGCAAAGGAGTCAGCATGGTGCAGTGGTTTGAGCATTGGACTGCTCAAAACTAGGGTTTGAAATGCATTGGGTGACATTGGGAAGTCACACACTCTCACCTTAGGGCAGTGTTTCTCAACCTTCCTCATGCCGCAACCCCTTAATACAGTTCCTCATGCTGTGGTGACCCCCAACCATAACATTATTTTTGTTGCTACTTCATAACTGTAATTTTGCTACTGTTATGAATCGTAATGTAAATATCTGATATGCAGGATGTATTTTCATTCACTGGACCAAATTTAAATACTTGTGGGGTTTGGAAGGGATTGATTTTGTCACTTGGGAGTTGTAGTTGCTGGGATTTCTAGTTAACCTACAATCAAAGAACATTCTGAACTTCACCAATGATGGAATTGAGCCAAACTTGGCACACAGAACTCCCATTACCAACGGAAAATACTGGAAGGGTTTGATGGGCATTGACCTTGAGTTTTGGAGTTGTAGTTCACCTACATCCAGAGAACATTGTGGACTCAAACAATGATGGATCTGAACCAAACTTGGCATGGATACTCAATATGTCCAAATGTAAACATTGGTGGAGTTTGGGGAAAATAGACCTTGACATTTGGGAGTTGTAGTTGCTGTTATTTATAGTTCACCTACATTAAAAGAACATTCTGAACCCCACAAATGATAGAATTGGGCCAAACTTCCCACACAGAACCCCCATGAGCAACAGAAAATATTGAGTTTTCTGATGGTCTTTGGTAACCCCTCTGACATCTCCTTACAACCCCCCCCCCAGGAGTCCTGACCCTCAAGTTGAGAAACATTGCCTTAGGAGAAGGCAAAGTCAGCCCCCCCCCCCCAAATCAAATCTTGGTGACGAAATCCTGTGACAGTCATCTTTGGCTCTCAGTAAAATGGAAATGTCTTGAAAGCACACAACAACAGCTTCAGCAGCAGCAAGGTGAAGCCTGGAGAATCCATGTGACCCATGTAAGTTTATGCAGCTTGCAGACCCCAATTCTCCATCCCCAAAATAAAAATAACCATGCCCCATACATGAAGAAGTAAGTTTGTATAATTTGAAGTGGGGGTTACCACCAACAGTTGGGAAAACCCCTAATTTTATATGAAGAAACTTAACAGTTGTATCACTTAGAAATGAATTTAAATGGAATTTATTTTTAATGGATCTTATTCAGAAATTTGATTATGGAGGCTAAAAATTGACCTTTGGATCTTCCAGAATTTCTCACTCTTGACATAGCCTGTTGGTTGTTATTATGTGCCTTCAAGTCATTTTTCAACTTACATTGAACCTATGGAGTTTCCTTTGCAAGATTTGCTCAAAAGAGTCTTGCATTTGTCTTCCTCTGAGGCTGAGCGAGTGCTTAAAGTCATCCAATGGTTGAACAGGGACTTGAATCTTGGTCCCAAGTCCTAGACCAGCACTCAAATCACAATACCACACTGGCTCAATACAGCACGTAAGTTTTTTTAATTGAAAACAAGGATTACATGAGGGTGAAAGTATGTCTGTTCCTGCTTCATGGGAAAGTTGGAGGTTATACTGCATGTGAGTGTATCCCTGGCTGTATCCATCTGGCTGTGTGCTAGTAGCATACATGCCAGCATATCCTCAGTGATAGAAAACTTTCACAAGGTACATTTTTGTGGATTTGAATGAAAACAGTGTAGAATAGTGTATTCCAACTTGATATATTCATGTTGTGTTGGATTCAGATAATTCCCAGACAGCATTTCAACACATAGCCAATGTACAGACCCTTTCGAGAAAAGGGAAACCCTAAGGCTACTTTGTACCTCTGCAAGTATGAATAACTATCTGACTGGATTGCTGTGTGGATGGCCATGTTCCAGAAGCATTCTCTCCTGACATTTCAATCACATCTGTGGCAGGCATCCTCAGATGTTATGAGGTCTGTTGGAAACTAGCCAAGTGAGGTGTATATGCTCTTTAATAATAATAATAATAATAATAATAATAATAATAATAATAATAATAATCTTTTTTTATACCCTGCCACCATCTCCCCGAAGGGGACTCGGGGTGGCTTACATGAGGCCAAGCCCAGAAATGCATTACAATACAGTAACATAAAAAGCATAAGGCAACATCATAATAAAATAAAATAAAATAAAACAAGCATAAAATATAACAAACAATGCAAAGTAATACAATAGAAAATCAAACACAATCACAGTGAGCGGGCCACATGTGCAAGATACAATGATAAAAACTCAGGATGAGATAAAAATAAAAACCTATATATTTGTAAAGGAGACTCATGAACAGAGTAGTAGCGAAAATCCTTCATAGGGTCAGGAGACTTATTGTGAGGGAAGTTGCTGATTTTTTGGAAGAAGATAAGGGGAGACGGTGAAGAAAGAAAGGAAAGGAAAGAAAGGGAGGGAGGAGAATGGTAGCGCGTACCATCCCATTGTATCAGGCAAATTTAAATGGATGGAGAATGAATACAGAGAAACTACCCAAATGCAAAGGGCAGCTTGCATGTTTTGCTTCTTAAGCTTACTGGAAAAAAAATATCCTCTCTTTTCCAGCAGCATTTGCAATATATCATAATATATTAAAGTGAGTAAATGGCATCCATTGTGACATTTGTATGGCCAATAACTTAATTTAAAAGTTTTATACTGTGTGAGATAATTAATGAGCTCTAATATCTCTTTGCTGTAATTACGTAATAAATCACACACAGTAAAACTCACTTTTGGAAAGCTGGACAGAGGTTTATTGCTGGG